CAGTGCCTGTTTTTTTTCTACACTCTGCCTGAAACGCATGAGTGAAGATGGACATAAGGACGTTTTTAGACCAAAAGTACCTCGACAGAACCCCAGCTTTGATGAGACTGGTGTTGACTCAGGTTTGTGAGTCTTATTTGAAAATATTTGTTGTGCTGCTGGTTTGCCTAAAGTTAGCTTACTATCAGGTAAATTCTGCCCTGAATATGCTTAATATGTAGCTTCAGATTAAAAATTATGTGGTACAAGACAAATATATCTGTTGACTAGTGCGTGTCACGTGTGTGTGCGCATGTGTGTGTGCATGTGTGTGCGCGCGCGCATGTGTGTGTGTGTGTGTTAAGCCCCGGATCTTCTTCAGTCCTTAATCCGCCCCTGCTCTTTAGTATGTTTTTTCCACAGGTTTTTGTAGTTTCCTTTCCCCTTAGAATATTAGTTTATTTTGCTGCTCATCTTGTCTTTAGGTTTTTTACTCTTAGGTCATGTTGGTTTCCTCCCTGATTAGTTAATTGGTCTCACCTGGTTCTCTTTCCACACACCTGCAGCCCATCTGACTCCCATCATGCCCCAGTGTATAAAAGCCCTGTCTTGTCTCAGTGTCTTGTTGGTCCATTGTTTGTGTGTCAGCGTTGTTTGGTGCTCTAAGTGAGCTTTTGTTACCTGGCCTCTAGGTTTTGTGCTCTGTGTGAGCTTTCGTTCTCCTGGTACTCAGGATTTTGTTTTTGGCTTCCTGCCATTTTGGATTTTGGTGCATCTCCTTAAATGAAAGGATTTGACTCTTAAACGCTCCTGCTTCGTGTCATCTGGGGTATCTGCATCTTGGGTCCAACCTCCTCCTAACCTGCAACGTGACACAGTACAGAGAAATGCGGGGCACATGAGGGCCCCACAGCAACAAGTCACAGTAGAGCTACAGGGGGCAGTCCACTTACATGGGCCAAGCCCTGTTGGGCCCCTACATGTCCCCACATGATGAGACCCACATGTGCCCTACATTTCATGACAGCTGAGTCCCGCTGTGGGCAACCCTTTGTGGGTCAAATGTTTGCCCAGAGAGAACCCACATGGGGACCCAAATGGACATGTTTGTTGCAAATGCAGATTTTAAATCACAGTTTGCATCAAACAGCGTTGTGTGTTTTTAACAACCTGCTATTTTTAATGCAACTTTTATTTTTTCCACATCTGATAAACATCTTCTCAGGGATGAATGAAGCGCTGACTTGACTATCCTGTGTGTAATTAAAACTGCATGTCATTAATTGTTATTAAGTTTTGAGAATACCAGGATGTGAGTAAATGAAGAGGCTTACTGAAGCAGGGACATGGAAACCATACAGAGCAGTGGGTTCTGAGGACCAGGGTAGGGGACCACTGCTGTAGAAGACCCTCATGCTCATTTGCACAAGTCCTTAGCAGCCTGGGACACACCTTGTCTGGACTAGGGTTGTCACAATACTAAAATTTCAAACTCGATACTCGATTTCGATACTATTTTAAAACACCCATTTATCGAACAAGTTTATTCAAAAAATAACATTCCTCAATTTATATTACAAAAATTAAATGTTAAGAATTAAGTGTATTAAGTGCTTAAACCTTTCAAGTATCAGCATTTTTTAAAACGTGCATACAAAAACTGGTGAAAGTTAACACTTTAAATCATGAATTGTCTCACTATATATACACTATTTGCAGAGTGATGTTTTGCTGCTTAAACTCTGCTTAAGGTGCATTTTTGTCATAAGATGTATTGCCATATGTTTTGTTCTGTACTTTTGAACAACTCTGTTGGTCAATAAAGGGAGAAAACGAATTTCTCCACAGTAGGACAAAGGTACATCTAATCTTAATAAAAACAGACTGGCGCACGGCAGTGACGTCATTAAAAGCGCCGGTTAGATTAGCCGCAGCTAGTCTGTTTACGCCTAGAAATCCCAGACCAGACCCGCTCCAAACGAACAGGGGAATCACGTTAATGATTCATAACAAAACCTTTCGACATGAAGATGTTTTGGTGCAGATAATGTCTTATTTCGAGGCTGCACATGGGTGCCCGTCCGCACCCGTTACATGGATATACACTGATGGCGATTCGCCGATGGATCTAAATACCCCGGGGAATCCAAGTAGCACCAAAGTTGTCAGCGTGAGTAAACAAACGTACTGCATGCTAGAAATTAAGTCCGGGTTGCAATAAACGGGAGTTTCCTTTAAGCACATAAGCGTGAATATACAACTACGTGTCGGACTTGGTATGCTAATTAAGTTGGGCTGTGAAGCGCCTCCCAAATTCGCTGTTTATGTTTTTGTTTATTTATTTGGCAGACAAAACTTGGATCGGAGACAACTCGCGTGGGAAATTGCAACGTAGCCATGCGGCGTCTTCTTCTGTTTGTCTGGGAGGCGGAGGCTGCTTTACGGCATCTGGCTGTCGTGCGTGTCGGTGTACTTGAAAAAGGCTGTGTATAATAGTCCATAATATCGATACCACAGGGATGGAATATCTAATTTAGATACCACTTTTAGTATCGATTTATATCTGGGTATCGATTTTTTTGACAACACTAGTCTGGACCCGCTGCTTTCCTGATGTTCAGTCTCTGCAGCTCCTTTATTCTAACCTTTTGTATTCTTCAAATGGTTCATTTGCTAATAAATAAAGGAAGGGCAAAATAAAAGTATTCCCAATTTTTAACTATTTTTTGGCAGGCCGAATGAACTCCTGGATGTCATTTCAGAGGAGCTCTACAACTGCGCATAAATGTGGTCTGAAAACTCAGAGAAGCACGTGAAACAACATCACCTTTAGGGGAAAACACCTGGGGCATAATTCATTAAAACAGGAGTCATTACCACATCCGTCAGAGAGTCAGAGAGACGGGCAGACGGGTCTCAGGGTGTTGAGCCGGATGTGTGACCACTCTTCCTAATGTTGGTTTTGCTGTGTTTATTTACTTGCCCAACCCACTCAGAGGTGACCCTTGGGGCAAGCTGTTGGGGCATTAGGGAGTGTGCATTTGGACCCAAGCACTCACACTCAGGCCTATCCAACCGCCACCCATCAGGCATCACATTCAAAAATAACATCTAAAAATATCTTCTACCTCCACCAGGTTTTACATCAATGTGACCGCTAGTAGTGCTGGATTTGATACAGTTCATTTAAACCGACTCAAATCACACACACACACACACACACACACACACACACACACACACACACACACACACACACACACACACACACACACACACACACACACACACACACACACACACACACACACACACACACACACACACACACACACACACAGCTTCCTGAATGGTCTCATTTGGAAACATGAGGTTTACCTCTTGTAGAAATGATGAGCAAATGGCTAGTCAGCATTGCAGCTGCTAACTGGTGATATTTTTACATCGCTATGGTGACTGTAAAACACTCTAGAACATGAATAACCCCAGAACAGCCGAACTTGTGATTTGTTCCAAAGTCGTGCAGCCCAAAATGAAGCTGAGATCAGATGTACGGTTGTTGATTTTATATCTATTAAACTGATTTACCAATCACTGTTTAACACTTCATACTGCTCTAATCTTCTAAAATTCATTCATTCATTCATTCATTCATTCATTCATGCCAACACAGTTACTCTGAAGTCCAATATTTTCTTTCCAGGCCCATGCAGAAGCATATCCCTCTTCAGTAAAGTTCGCCCACTCACAAGTAAAATGGAAAAGACAGGGATGGTAAAACTCAACTGCTTGGGAATTTTAAAGAGAGGAAAGTTGGCATCACTCAACATCTCAGTTCTGCTAAATTCAGCCATGAATAGTTCCAGACTGGAAAAATGACTCTCTTCTCAGTGCAGCAGAACTAAAGCTTTGGACAGGACTATAGGTGACTTTAAGCTGCAATGATATATCAGAACAGGTTGATGTCCGAGGTTTTTGAAAACATATTCAGCGTTATTCTCAGAGTCGTGGACCACATTGTTGTTACAGAAACTTTTTTAATAGCAAGTTTGTTGGACTTTGACTAAAACACTCCTTTCTGGGAATCACTCACTCACACACACACACACACACACACACACACACACACACACACACACACACACACACACACACACACACACACACACACACACACACACAACAGAGAAGGACAGTGCATTTGAATGGACTTTCCTGCTGTCAGAGTGTCTGGTATGCATTAGCCACAGACTCCAGTGGGATAACTGGATCCAATAACTGGATCCAATGCATGTGTATGCATGTGAGTAAATCCATGAAAGTACACGCTTGCGTGCATGCACACACACACACACACACACACACACACAGAGAGACACACACACAGAAGTAGTCACAATCAAGAGGTCTCACAAGTCAGAATAGCCAAATAAATAATGATTAAAAGTTGAGAAGAGCTCTAACAAATAATGGAGAATTTGGATTTTAACATGAACTAAAACATAAAAAATCTCAGACACACCAGACATAGCAAAATAAATGTAGCTAATAGAAATATGTAAGGTTTAAATGTAACTAAACGCTAGGTTTTATTGTTTCACACTTTCCTTTTAACTTCTTCTCCCATTCCACATGTCAGCTTCAGCATGAGGAATAAACCAGTAACAAATAGCAACATGTTGCTGTCACATCTGTTCTGTTTGTTTATTTGGGAAAGATCTGCAGTAAGAAAGTTTTTAAAAGTTTAATTGGTTTAAAAAATGTGAAATACGTGGTTTTTCCTTCACACCGTCAATTGATTTTCCCTGGAGACCACAGAAACCCCTCAGGCCTGTCATCACGACTTCAGGTTTACTTTAGATCATCTGAACCCACAGTTTTGATTTCTTCTTTGACCTGGTCTCAGATACAGCAGCGTTGCATATTCACTCATGTATTACTGTGTCATTTATTATTCTTTCATAGAACAAGATCATTACTAGCACTGCACTCGACTCAAACTGGAACACAGTGGCACAAACCTGGGTTAACCTGGGATGAGACGGCTTCAAAAAGGTAGAGGCCGATGAGGAGACGGAGGGGAAAGTCTGACAGGTGCTTCATCGTGGACGGGGGTAAAGAAGCAGACTTCCAGCCTGGACAAAGAAAAAGAAATTAATAGTAACAGCAGCTTATAGTTTTATGTCATGTAACCACATAATCAAAACTGAAAAAGCACCCTGGATGTTAGCAGGCAGACCACCTTATTCTTCATTTACTTGCTTGTTTTCATGGGAACCAAACGTGTTTAGGAAGACTGGAGTTTAATTAGAAACTTGGTTTTTCTTCACACAATAAAAGACAATAATTGCCACTCAACAGTGGATTTTCCATTTTCTAGTCGTTTCATTGCTCCATACAAAAAACTTGTTAAATTCTTACTGAAGTCATTTCTCACCGTTAGCAGGCAATAGTGGTCGAAGATTACATTCAGTTCAAATGAAGGTGTTTATTGTTTACATATGTAGATTAATTCAAAATCATAATTTTTAAATGCAGGATCAGAAAAAGTCAGACCCCGAGTCACAGACATGACCCAACTGACCGGTCGCTGCAGAAGGAGAGGCACCAACTTCAATAGTTTCCAGTGGTGTTACATTCTTGTTTTAGTCTACCAGTTTTAGCGCTCATGCTGACAAGATCCTAACTTTCAAGATGACACAAGCTGTGAGCAAAACTCTCATCATAAATAAATAGTTACTACGTGACAACAATGAATAAATTCCCCATAAAATATCCCAAAAAGCCTTTTTACTGGTCTTCTGTCGAGGCTAGCTGTACTACAATACTATAATACTAGTTTGTACAAAAGCAGAAACAAAACACCAGGATTTCACTTGGTCTTTTTTTATCTCTGTCACAACAAAGATGCAGCTAAATCACGCTTCGGAAGAATTTCTGATAATAAAATGTTAGATATCACTGAAAAAAACACTGTGTGTGTGTGTGTGTGTGTGTGTGTGTGTGTGTGTGTGTGTGTGTGTGTGTGTGTGTGTGTGTGTGTGTGTGTGTGTGTGTGTGTGTGTGTGTGTGTGTGTGTGTGTGATGTTTTAACAGCTTGAATGAACTCTGCTATGTTGTGGAACTGTTGTTGATAATGAGATTTACTGCTCTACTCTCTCCTGGAAGCCAACCCCACAACAGCCTTGCCCGTCAAGAGCCATGGTGGGTAAGTCCATGAACGCTAATTTTCAGTATGATGCAGATCTGAGTAGCTTTTCTAATCTGAGAGGTTCCCCATCAATTTTCTATCAGCAGCTAATGCAGAATACAGGGGTAGAAGATCATTTTCAAATCCTAACCATGTCTCAAATATTTTGCCCTGACTTACACACTTCAGATATGTGCATCTGTCACTGTGTCTTTATAGACCTATTTGGTAAAATAACTGGAAGTCGAGTCGCCACCATTACTTCGGTGACAGTTCCCAGTCAGGCAGCCATAGGCACTGTGCGAAGTGGGCTTTTTGAAATAAACAGCAAGAAATGGAAGTTGTTCCTTCAGTGAACCAGTCTCTGATGGCTGGGAGGATGTGTGCAGTCGTTGGCATGTTCTAAATACAGCAGAAAACACCAGATTTGGAGGCAAAAGATGCGAGATACATCATGTAGGACCTGCTGTCAGCCACAGTTTGACAGCCATCGTCACTTTGTACAGGAGCACTGCGGTGTGGCTGCAGCACCGCTCTACCTGCCATGCAGGCACAGCAGACACCCACAGCCTGGCCAGCCTGGCAGTGTAAAATTTGCCAGACCCATGATGAGACTTTGACCATCGATCTGTAGTTGCCGTTTTTCTGGTAATCGGACACCAGACAATGAAAAAAATATTCTTGTGCGTTTAAACCAAAACCTAAACTTTGTGTTGTGGTTTTGTTGTCACATAGCCTGTCCAGTGTCCATAATGATTAAACGTTATGGTTAGCTTGCTAGCTTCTGCATACTTAAGCTCTATGCACAATGTTTACTGGTACAGTCTGTTATTTGCCTATTAATCTTTCCAATTTATCTCTCAAACAATTAATTAATTGATTAATTAATGTAAGTATTAATTTAATATAACTTAATCAGTTACTGGAGGCCCCTGTCTAACATAATCAATCCAGATATTCATGGTGGTGTCACTAGAGCATCAGTTTACAATGACAGAATAATGAATGAATCATTGACACGTGTCATCGCAGCAATGGCAACGCCGCAAGATGGCGACCTCCACAAATTACGTGCCGAATCAGTCTATACACATAATCCTGTTGCTTTTCCAACTGCTGCTTCCTGCCGCCTCACCTTGCAGCTACTTCCCACTGAGAAACCTCAGAGCTTAAATCCTCCTGGATTTTCACTGCTAATGAAACGCAAACACCTGATAGCTTGTTTGCGTTTTTAAGTCAAATTTATGTTTACCATGTGCAGGAGAACGTTCACGTAAAGACTGCCTGTATTGTACGGGGGAGAAGGCCGACCTTTGCTTCTGCTTTTGGAGGTTATCCAAGAGCCATACTGGTGTGTTTGCATGCTTTAGCTCATTCACTGAGAGGAAACATAACAGGCATTTCCATACCACTTCCCAAAGACTTTATGTGAAAACTTCTGCTCAGTGAGACATCATCCATACAAAAATAGCTCAGCTTGTCCTCTGTCTGCTATCTACGATATGAGATTATGTAAAAAAAAATAGGCTCAAGCAAATGAAAGAATTGCATAAATAACACAAACATGGCTGAATGCAATCAGACTGCAGTGATGGATAATTAAAGATTAAAGCCTTTGAGTTCAGTGAGAAGGCTTATAGAAACATAAGAGGCAAGAAGCACAGCTAAGCAAAGCAACGCATGAATACAGAGTCCCAAACTGGCCACCACATGAAAAAGCACGCTGAGTTTAGATAACAACATGAGCTTTTTTCTGGTTCTCCTGTGCCCTTTCATTCTCTGACACTTTCTCTTTTTAGATTCAAAGGTACACATTTGGCAAGTCACGTCTACGGTTTATTTACTTAGTTTTTATGTATTTATACAGTCTAGGTCTTCACTTTTCTACCAGGAAACAATCTCCCGGGACACATCCACCGCACAGTCCAGCTGCAAATACTCATAGCTTTTATCACAATGATAGACTAAAAAGAGACCATTTTTCAATCTAAGAAAACAAATATCATGTTTAAGGAGACTGAAATGATGAGTGATTATAGATCATGCACTGCAGGCTAACATAACTGTTTCCGTGAAGAGAACAAACACAAAGTTATTTTGAATAAAATTAACAAAAATGTGTCACATAAAAACTACTGTTTCTAATTAGGATGGTAAATATAGTCTGTTTAGAGGAACCTGTCAGTGGACGAACAATCCCAGATCCCAGTCAATTGAAGCTTTAATCTTTTTAGACAGCGATTAATAAAATACCAAAACCTGAGCAAGACACCAACCTTAAACCAAGACCTGATGAATTATAAAGGTGAGTTAACTGCCACAGAATTTACATGAAAGAAAACCGAAAACAACAGAACACTTCAACTTATTCCTTTTTTATTTATTCTGAGAGGAAATCTCATCAAACCCCAAAATAATGGTGCAAAAGGTTTATTTAAATAACCTCTAACTGAGGTGAAATAATAGAAACAACATATCTTGGTCTGCAGTTAAATTCCTAAGCAAACTACATTTGTTAAAGAGTTGTTAAAGGTGTGGATCACTCATTTAATCATTACATTTGCAGTGGCCTCTAGTAGGTACGAATGTCTTGTAAGTTGTACTCTGGGAGAAAAAAGTTACTGGTGCACCATTTCCAGGAACTTCCAGTTACCCACATCACAGCTGAGCTCCAGACGGCAGGTTTTGGTGTCTTATTTCCTGATATTTGGACATTTCGCCCCGGATTGGATCACAGCAACACAACTCTACCACTGACTTGCAACGTGGACGTTTTATCGCCACAATTAGCTCAAGCCTGGAGGAGCTTCTGCTGTGTGGTGGAGTTGCTAATGCTAACAGTTAGCATAAATCAGTTGGGACATCCGCTGCTGTTTCTCGAACGTTAAACAACAACAGTCTTCCCCGCCTTGAGTCAAGATGGGTGAGTCTATGAAAGTTAAGTGACAGTGTGACATATAGATTTGTCGGGGTTTTCTAATCCTAGAGTGTCATCATCTATTTTCTATCAGAAGCTAATGCAGGAGATAGGTGTAGGAGACGATTTCATGTTCAGCCTGCATGAAAAACTCAGAGTGACCGATAATGTTCAGAAATAATCATTAAAAAATGAGTTTGCTCCCTGCTCAATGGTGGACTTTCCAAGTGGGATCACACCCATTAGGACTAGGGATGCACCGATACGATACTGATATCGGTATCGGTAAAAGTTAACCAATACCGGGAACTGATACCAATGCAGTTGCTTGAAAATGGCTTCACTGTAACTTGTCATTTCTGTTCACCTAATATTTTAGTTTTGTGATGATTTCTATTCATATATTTTACTTTTTATCTACCTCACAGTCTTTTCCTGTTGAAAGCAGAGAAGAAAATAAAATCTGTATTCCAAATCATTGCATTTTTTGTGTGGTAGAAGTATAGGTATCGGTAATCGGTATCGGCGAGTATTCAGATCTAAGTATCGGTATCGTATCGGTTTGGAAAAAAGTGGTATCGCTGCATCCCTAATTAGGACAGTGGGAGGGTTATTCTGACTGAATGCTTGGTGTATGTATATTCACAGTATGATCGGATCATATCAGTTAGTGTTCATGTAAACAGAGTTTTGGGATTTCCGATCAACCAATGTTTTAATCTGATAGGGGAAATCTGGCGTATGCAATCGTAGCTACTGATGTGTGAAAGGAATTGCTTCAGAAAAAAATTAAGTGTAATTTGTAGTTTTTACATATTTTGCTCCAAAAATCTCCCTGGGAATGAAACCTAAATAAACTGTAGCGAGTTCAAAGTTTCACACCACCCTTCTTACCTCGCTGGATATTCCACAGATTGAGCGTTAGGTTATTATTCTACGTGTTTCTCTGCTGATGCGAAACCTCCATTCTTTACAGCAGCTATGGAAAATCTACTCTGATCTATTACTTTTCAGCACAAGCCTTTATG